TCAAATCCCCCGGGCATCATGCCCACCCAACTTTATTAGTTGGGCGCAAGGGAGTGAAGTACGAGCATAAATCACCTAGAAGGCTAAGGCCATCAAGTTTACGTTAACGTAGCAAGGTGATTGTATGCTCTCAAAGACACGTGCAGAGCTGCAATTGCGGAATCCCCCGATCCGAAGGCTAAAACAGACATCGTACGAAGTAGAGGATCCGGAGGATTCCATCTTTTGCAAGCTCCCCCGGTAGTCATCTCGACTTTCGGAATTATGGAGGATTTCCCCCGAGTCTTGGGGTGTTTACCGAAGGGTCGTCAACTGCACAACAAAACTGAGGCCCAGGCACTGGCAGCAAGACGTTATGGAGACAGGTAAATTTCCCCCAATCACGACCCTCAAGCAACAACCTGCATGACGATTTCCCCCTGGAGCTCGCGGCATGTTGCAAACAACGACACAGCAGTCCTGAGCACCTACAGGAGTACCACACGTACAATGCACGTCTTGGGCTCCAGGGGTGTGCATGCTTCTGTCCTTCCTAATACTTTGGGTTGCTGTGTATCCCCCGATCATCATGGTACATGCAGTTGAGGACCGAGACTGTGTGTAAAACAAGAACACCACACTACCATGCACCGACAAGACCACCATGCGGGAGAGACTCATCACGGTCCCAAGGTAAGTTTCCCCGAGTAAAGAGGACTCTGTAGCATATTTGTGAGACTTATCCCCTGGGGCCAGCTCGTTTTGGTACAACAATAGCACAGCGCTACTAAACCCCTAGAGGAGTACCATGTGTCCTTATCAAATACTTGGCTGGCTCTGGGGGAACTGAGGTCGACTCACGGGACTTCTGTTGTGCGAAACAAGGACACAGCATTACTGCACACCTGAAGGAGTAACATGCGTGGAAGGGTTTGTGTTGTCCCGGAGGATTCCCCCGAAGTAAAAGGGCTTCGCAGCATGATCAGAAGGTACTTTCCCGGGCCAGTTTGTTCTTGCAAAACAATGGCACAGCACTACTGAACCCCTAGAGGAGAACCATGTGTCCAAATCAGTTGTTCCCCTGGCGCTGGAGGAGTGGCATCTACGTAGTAGTATTGCATGGGTGTGGGTCTGACATAAGCTGACAAGGGCATAGGACAAAGGGGTCAGAGGTAATAGAGAGGTATTTCCCCCTACATTGGCGCTTCATTCCCCTGCACTCAGTTTGCTCAGAGGAAGTCGTGGTGCGAGCTCAGTCGTCGTGTAGGGCGGCTCGCATCCGGCGTCGTCGGTGGCTCACGAGGCTCTCGGCATCGCTCTCCACTGCAACTGTGGGGCTGCGTCTTTCTTCTCCCGCTGGTGCATTGCCCAAACCATGGTGACGGTCATGTAGCCACCATTCCCCGGTGGCCAGGGGATTTGCCAGAGGTGTCCCCCGGTCCAGGAGAGGTTGTGGCTCGGTCCCCCCATGGGAGGGGAGCAGCTCTTCGACATCATCGAGCGCACGGAGGAGGGCCGCATGGATCGTGTTGATTTTCCCCGGTGACCAGTCTGAAAGTCTGGTGCGCAAGTTCTGGAGCTCAAGGAGAATCCCCCGCGTAAACCTGTGCCTTTTCCCGCGGGCGAGGTTTGAGGTCAACGTCCCCCGCAGCTCTGCCATCACATCTGCCGGGTGAGCCACCATTTCCCCGCTCTGAATGGCTCCGAGGAACATGGCTGTCTCCGCCAGTTGTACCCAGTGCTCGGGGCGGTCTGCTGTCTGGATGCCATGCAGTGCAGAGCCCAGATCGCGGACTGCTCGTCCGAGAGCTTCCCCACGAGGCACGACATCCGACGAGGAGGACGAGGAACTTCCCCGGGTCGTTAGCATGCTGTTCAACCAGGCGATTATGATGTCCACGTCATGCTGAATATCATAGTATGATATGTAGATATGCAGATCCTCGGCAGAGGCCAGCCGTCGTTGAGCCTTTGCAAGGAGCCGTTGCAGGGCCAGTGCTGCTGGGCTGGTGTTGTCGGGGTCTCGCTTTAGTCTTTTTGGGGGTTGTTCCCCCGGTGTTTCCCCCGCTGCTTGTGTGTTGTTTCTGTTTTGCTGCTCGAGTTCGAGGTGTGCAAGGAGCTCTTGTTCTGTCTGGCTGTCGACGAGGAGGTCGCTGAGTGCACACTGTGCTAGGGTTGCTATGGCTCCTCCCCCTAAAAGTTGTGTAGCTGCTTGGTAGATACGAACAAGGCTGGCTTCGATGCGGTCGGTGGTGGTGTGGTGGCGTGGTGGGGGTTGGGGTGGGTGGGGGTTGGGCCGTGGCGGTTGGTCTGTGGTGTCGTCTTGCTGTGTGGCGGCCGGCTCTGCGGTATGTTGGGTGGGAGCTGCGGCCCGTGGTTGTGGCTGTGGATGGATGGTCGGTGTAGTTTGCATGAGGCTGTAGTGGTCAGGTTGTGTGGTGGTGGATGTTGCTGTGGGGCTGGTGGTGGTGGCTGTGGTGTGACCGCTGTTGTTGGGCTGGGTCTCCGTCGTGCTTGTCGTGGTTGGAGTTTGCGGGTCTTGTGGAGGGGTGCGTGTTTTGCCGATTCGCCTGCCGTCCCTCACTTGTGCGAAGGGGTCTGCCTTTTGGGCCGGAGCTGGGTCGTTGCTGGAGGAGGCCGGGGTGTCTTGGTTGTTGGGGGGTCTCTCTCTTTCTCTCTCTTTCTGTCTCTGTTCTTTCAAGGCCCGCGTGCCACGCCGTCCACGCCTGCTCGTTGTCCTGCCGTGCTCTCTCTCTTAGTCTTAGTTGTTGTGGCGTGTTCTCCCTCTTACTCTCTATCTTTTCACTCTCTCACTCTGTCTCTCGTTCTTACTGTCCCTCTCTCTCTCTCTGTCTCTGTCTCTCTGTCTCTCTCTCTCTCTCTCTCTCTTTCTCTCTCTTTCTGTCTCTGTTCTTTCAAGGCCCGCACGGCCTCTGGCACAGGGACCCACAGAGCCTGCAGTCGATATTGCTGTAGTTTTTGCTTGTTGTGAATCCGACTGAGTCCCTGACAGGCTGTCGCTGCTGCCTGAAAGCCATGGGCACATTGGCCTCGTCGAAAAATGCTTATTGGATCGATCTCTTGCGTTGGACCGCATCTGACTGTGATTGAGTCGCTGGCAGAGACCCCTCGCCGCAACGCCTCGTTGAAAAATGCTTATTGGAGCGGTTTCCTGTATTGATTTCTTGGGGACCGCACCATGCCGCCCAACGCTCCGCTCGATCCGTGCGAGCACCAAGAGCAGCGGTCGTGGCAAACATCAGTGAAGCAAATGCGCAAGCTACTACTACTAACACTACTACTGCTACTACTACTACTACTACTACTACTACTACAACTACTACTACTACTACTACTACTACTACTAGTACTACTACGACTACTACTGCCACTACTACTACCACTGCTGCCACTAGTATTACCGATAGGAAGAGTACTTGTACCACTACTACATAGCTGCTACCACCTCCAGATATTCCCTTCTATCCGCAGCCGAAAATAACTATTACTACTGCTGCTGTTGCTCCCTCCGCGGCATTGCTCTGCGCTGCAGCTGTTGTGGTGCATGCTGCTGTTGTTGCGACACTGCTACTACTGCTACTACTAGTATGATTACTACTACTACTACTACTACTACTACTACGACCGGAGTAAGACGAATCAAGTTATTGGCCGAATATGTGGCCGGAGAATGATTATTGTGGATAGGAGAAGCGAAACAAGTTATTGGCCGAATATGTGGCCGGAGAAAGAATATTGTGGCTAGGAGAAGCGAAACAAGTGCGTTCCATGGCTGCTTGGGTCCCTTCGGGGATCATCCGATAAAGCTGGAACGATACTTCTGAGAAGTCGCAGGCGGGTTATGTCATCGTCAGCTGAAGGGCTCGGTGCAGATGCTCTTCAGGTGATGAGCCCAAACGTTGCCACTGAGCAGGAAAGACTGCCGCAGTCTGCTGACGTGACATATGGGTCTGTTGGAGGGTTGGTGAATGGTGTGGTTCCGGCCTCTCCTCAGATTGCCCTCAGGAGTCAGCGCGGGGGATGTAAATCCTTCATTGAACAGTTGGCTGATGGGCTGACCAAGCAGTTGGCTTCAGACCGGGCCTGGAAGCTTCTGCAGGCTTGGAGCTTCTACAAAGGGGGCACCCAGCCTGAAGTCAAGAAGGTGAGGATCGCAAAGGTCAGTGGTGAGTGGGAGTCCGCAGCACAAGCCTCTACAGCAGCACAAGCCACCATACCCTGCACAACAGCCACAAGCAACCAGCATGAAGGGACGCTGAGTAGGTGTACCAAGGTTCTAGTGGGGTTGGGTTTGGTTGCTGTAGCCTGGGGAAGTGATACTGGGAGCCGTGAGATGTACACTGCTGTGGATTCAGAGCATGAACTTTGGGTTGCAGTGTTGCTGGTGATGGTGACCACTATTTTCTTCTGAGAATGGAGCAAGCGGGCTGCTGGAGGTGTCAAGAAGGCAGTTAAACTGAAGATGTTTTCGTCGACTTCTACATCAAGGTTGTCCAAGGCTGAAGGGAAGGAGCTGTTGATGTTGTTGGGCTTGGAGGAGCGATCAATAGAGCAGGAAGCGAGACTGAATGCTTTGATAGGCCGCTACCAGGCTCAAGACCGAGCACTTCCAGGCCAGGATGGGACTACAGGATCTACAGTCAGGGGACGCTACTTCGACTACGAGTTCCTCGAGGCCTTCTATTCCAAGCACAGAGAGGTTTCAGCCTGAGCGCTGGAGCAGAGCAGTTCAGACAGATCCGGAGCCTGAGCTGCCGAAGGGGTCTATCACGACTTCTACAGTGGATCCAACTATTCGCTACGTGACACAACCGTGGGAAAATGATCTGTTCGTGAGTCCGAATGGAGATCGCATACACTTGCGACCAGACTGCCATGGACTGCGCAATGCCTCGAGGACAGCTCGGAAACCCATGTGTGATGGCTTCCCTTGCGGGAGCATCAAGGAGGGGTGCTGAAGCCTGAAAGCCCCCTTATGTATAGAAGCACAGGTGGAGCCTGCGCCTTTCAGGACCTTGTTGTGGCTGCAGACGGATGGCTCGGAGAGCTCGTGCAGCACACGTGACATGTGCTAAAGTAAAGCAGGCTGTAGGCCATAAGTAGGTGTGCACAGAAGCCCTACTTTACCGCTTTGCTGTGTGTGGAAAAGTTCTGAGGGTTTCGCCCGCGTTCCATGGCTGCTTGGGCCCCTTCGGGGATCATCCGATAAAGCTGGAACGATACTTCTGAGAAGTCGCAGGCGGGTTATGTCATCGTCAGCTGAAGGGCTCGGTGCAGATGCTCTTCAACTACTACTACTACTACTACTACTACTACTACTACTACTACTACTACTACTATCTACTACTACTACTAATGAGAGTCTCTTTGGCGTAGAGCTTTGCTCTGTGTATCAAATATATAGCATATAGACGAAAGTTTGCGATGATTTCCAAAGTGTTTCATATAAAACTTCTGAATACTTGAGAACGTTAACAATCTATATGGGTACTCCATAGGAAGTTGCTCTTCGGTGTTTCCAGCCTTCAGACTTAAAAAGGTTTTAAAACAGCAGGTGTATGGAGTTTTCAATCTCTTCCAAAGATTTTCATTCAAAACTACTGAATACTTTTTTAAAACAATCTATATGGGTACTCCATAGAAAGTTTCTCTTCAGTGTTTCCAGCCTTCAGACTTAAAAAGATTTTAAAACAGCAGGTGTATGGAGTTTTCAATCTGTTCCAAAGATTTTCATACAAAACTATTAAATACTATTTTTTGAAACGATCTATATGGGTACTCCATAGGAAGTGATATTCAGTGTTTCCAGCCTTTAGAGTTAAAAAGATTTTAAAACAGCAGTTGTATGGAGTTTTGAATCTCTTCCAAATATTTTTATATAAAAAGACTGAATATTTTGTCTTTTTTAACAATCTATATGGGTAATCCATAGGCAACTGCCAAGTTGCGAAAAGCCTCTTACAACATACGTGAAAACAACACATGTAACGCAAAAGTGATGGAAACATATGATGAGAGTTCCATTCTCTCTCAGAGCTCAGGTTGCATGACCGTTGATTGTATTCTTCCTGAATAGATAAGTCCTGACGTGCATAGTACAACTGCAAAGCTATCTCACTGGTACGTCAGATGCAGTTTTTTAAGTCTCTGCGAGACGCCTTAGCCCTCGCTAAGGTACCTAGCCGTCGGACTGTAGCACCGGTCCTGGTAGTCCCAGCGCCAGCCGACCGAAAAGTGCCTCATGGCACCAACAGGATGGACTTCGTCCATCTGGGCAAAAGCAGAAATGAGCAGCGTTGGCCCGCCTAGGCTGTACTCTAGACGCACCAACTTCCCAGCTTTTAAAGCATCGACTCGAACTACTTTGCCAGACAATCTCTCCTCAGGAGAGATGTCAGAAAGGAGCCGGCACGGCGGCTTGTAGCGACCTGCAATGAGGCATCCCAGGATCTGCAGACCTTAAGATGACACTGAGCACAAGGCCTTCCAAACGCTCAATGGCTTTGCCAATGTTGGTGTGGAGGTCGCTCTCTTTGTTGGGCACATGCCCCAAAGCCTCATGGACAGATATAAAACAACGATGACTTCAGGACTTGGGTCTCCGTGTCTTTCACACACGGATTTGCCTTTGGCAACGTATTTTTAATGGGCAATGGCTTTTCTCTTATGCTGCGGCCAGCATCAAAAACAAGTCAGGCATGACTAAGTTAAGCCAAAACCCCCCCTCAGTGGAACCCAGCCCCCCCCTCGTCCCACCTGGCCCATGGAGCATAAGCAGGAGACGAGTCAGCATAAAAAAAAAGCCAGCTTAGCATAAAAACAGCAACCGATAGCATAGATGGAGAAGATGGAGAAACCTCGGGCATAAGAGGAACACCCATGAGCATAGGAAAAGAACCGCATCGGCAATGGGATGGAGGCATGGAGGTCGATGGAGACATGGAGGTGGGCAGCACAAAAATAGAAACCTTGAGCAGCCCTGAGCATAAAGATTAATGCCCAGCCCATTTGTTTAACAAGATTGTGCTTCCTCCGGATTTGGGACCGGGCAAGCTCCAGGTTTATCCTTTTGATCGGCTTGCCTGTATCACCACGAAACTAACATGCGCATCCGGAAGTTACCTCACAGGCGCACAAAGTAACATGCGCAGCCTGCACTACAGAAACAAGTGTGGTTGAAGAGCCCGGGAACTGTTCCGATCTCAAAGGTGGGGCCCTCCACAAGCTTTCCTGTGGTGCTTCGACGGCTACAAGTTCGCGGCCGATTGAGCTGGTAGAACAACAACAACAACCACAACCATGACCAACAGCAACAGCAACAGCAACAGCAACAGCAACGAAAAAACAACCCTAATGCCTAAATAACACCAAAACCCTTCCAACCATACAAACCCTTCAAAATCCCATTGCGCCGTTCAAAATCCTTCCAAAATAAGTTAAACCCCTTCGAAATCCCATGGAAAACCATCCAGAATCCCAAATCTCAAACAAAAACTCTTCAAATTTCCAATTAAAGCCGCTCCTAAATCCTACGTCAAACCCATTGAAATCCCATGAAAACCCTTGAAAATCCGATACCCTTCAGAAAACCTGCTAAACCATCTAAACCCTGCTACCGCACGTGAAAAACCTTCATTCTAAAGCACCTTAAACGCCTTCTACTACGGCCCAGCAAAAGCTCATGACCCTTCTGAAACAATAGCTTTCTAGAGCCGCCTTACCTGTGATTGAAATGTGGTGTAATGTAGGCGGCTGTGTAAAAGGGAGGGGGATGTCAAAACAGCAGACGGGGCTCTAGAGTTAGGGACAAAGTCCTGATTTCAACGGGCACTCTGTCCCTATTTGCTGCTAGAAACAATAACTGGAGCCCAGTCTGTTGTTTTGACCTTCCCGTCCACCCCCCCCCCCAGCATTTACAACAACCACCCAGACCACACCGCATTTTATCATGCGGCAGATGCAGTGCAAGGCCATGGTTCGCATTCCCGCAAGCTCTACAGCCAACCTATGGAGTCACCGGAAGCATTCCGAATCGCTTCTATTTAGATAGCATAAGTTACAGGCTGCTATTTTTGTCTGTACCAACAACAACAACAACAACAACAGCAACAGCAACAGCAACAGCAACAGCAACAGCAACAGCAACAGCAACAGCAACAGCAGCGGCAGCAGCGGCAATTGCAACATCAACATATCGCCAACATCACCATTATCATCATCAACATCATTGTGACCATCATCATCACCACCATCATCACCGTCATCCCCATTATCACCATCATCATCGCTTCCGTCATCATTATCACCATCATCATCATCATCATCAAAAACATCCTGACATTCGTCGCTTTCGTCTTCAGTATCAAGAACATGATGGGTGCTGTGGATGTTGTCTGTAGCGTTTGTCCTTCATTACGGGAAATTTGCAAGTCGTCGGTGCAAGCAACCTTTGCCCAGCATGCGCAACGGTAAGGAGCCTTCTGTGCCCGACAAGCTCTTTCTAGAACATGTCAAAGCAGAAAACCCATTCTTCCTCTGATTGGAGACATGACGCCTCCATGAACGCGGAAGTCGTACACCGACAGGCTGACTCTCCCTGTAACTCACGGACACTGGCCTTACACGTCCAAGGCCAAGGCTCCCATCCGTGAGATGTGCCCAATCACCCTCGCCTTCTTCACCCACTGACGGCACACGTCCTTTCGATCAAACGCATATGGAGCCGTGAAAACTTGCCAACCTGCATGCTGCTTGGAGCCTGGGTGGAGCAGGCTGAAACCCACCCCGAGTGCTGCGAAGCTCCACCTCAGGCTGCGGGCTTCACCTGAGCCATCGTCAAAACCCCGTTTTGGTGCGATCGTCCTATCAACTCAATCTATGCATGTACCTGCGGCCGCCTAATGAACCTCAAGGCTGCTTTCAAACGAACAACAAGTATGCGTGGTGTGTATGTGTTTGCATACATATACTATACATAATTACATGCATACATACATACATACATATATATATATATATATGTGTATATATATATATATAGCCGGGCGCGGGATTTAAGACGTACCTTGGTTTTAATAACAAAGCACACAGGTTTCGGCTGTTTAAGGGCGATTTGTTTCCGGAATCGGGTGTTTACCATAAGACCAGTTGGTTAGGCTGAAATCTGTACAGTCGGCCCCGCGCCCGGCATCGAGTCATTCTGTCGGAGAAAGGTGCCAACCGTCCATGGGCGTCTTAAATGTTCGGCCGTATTTAGGAGCCGAGCTAATAGGTAATTTCGTAGGATTGTAGTCAAAAAACAACAGGAAGGCTTTCTCGGAGCAGAACTTGTGTGGAGTCTGTAAGGACTCCCAGTAAGGTGGGAAACACAAGAAAATCAGGACTTTCTAGACACTCAGAGGGAAAAGAGTGGCGTCTTGAATCCCGCGCCCGTCTATATATACATATGTATGGTATCCCCCCATGGATCTATCATCTTGTGGCTTTGTGAACCCTACCCCAAGGATCTTGGGTACCACTTGTAGTACGAGTAGGAGGTAGCGATTGTAATTAGTGGTAGTGGTATGTTTAAAAATGACCATCCTTGGAGAGCCTTTTTCGGAGCTGGAGAATACCGTTTTTCGTTTTTAAGGGACCTCTCGATGGGTTCGCCTTCCACTGATTGGCGTCTTAGGAACATCTCGATACGGCGGTTTGCGGCCATCACCCGCTACCTTATTGTGAGTATTGAGGTTGGACTGGAATGACTCTGCATCTTGTCTTTTGGGTACAGAACTCGCCGAGAGGAGACTCAAACTGAGCCGCGATTGTGCTGAGAGCTCGTGTAATATGATGCTCACCGTCTCGCAAATACGGTTTAAGGAACGGGTTTGGTCTGCAAACCGGCTTATATCGTGCGTTTGGTTGGAACTTGCGTCGGGCCATGAATTCAAACACAAGTTCCAGTACGAGCTGTTCCGACAATCCAGACTCTAAAACCGGACATCTGATGACTGGAACCTTGACACGAGTATTGTAAAGGGCAGAGACATACGAAACTCATTACACACATTGATGCTCAAACTGGATGTGATCTTGCTTTGCTGCTTGGAAGCTTTTCAATACTGTATTTCGTGACTCTGTCACATGTACCCGGTTATGCATAGGAAGCGTTGGTGCTGTTGGAACGACATGCGTCAACCAAGAGACACTGTGTATCGCTTAGTAGCATTATGTTAGAAGTCGGTGTGAACGGTGACGAAGACATGATGGACAAGGACTATTCCGCTGACTACGCAACTTCAATATGTCATGGTGAGGTCTGCTTGCACAGACGTCGTTCATTCTGATCTCGCGGCAAAACTCACCAAGCCTGCGCAGGTTTTGTGGGTAGAAGAAGCGAATGTGTGAACAAAGACAATACTTTAATGAACTCCATTCCCACCACCTTGTCACATTGTCCCTACAATGTCACCATCTGACAACTCCAAGTACACGCCGATGCCGCTTCGTCTCATACATGCGTATCAGATGGTTTTGGCTTCACAAAACGACAACGGTAGATCCATGATGGGGGGGTAGCACATATACTGACATATACAATTAACAACCAAGATACATATATATATATATATATTTACATACACACACACATATAGTATGCATGTTTGTATATACATATATACATATATGTAAGTAAATAAATAAATAAAATATATATATATATATATATTTATTTATTTATTTATTTATCTATTTATTTATTTATTTCTATGTGTGTGTGTATACAACCGAACCCCGAGAGCCTCCCTATAGGCCCATGGAGACTCAAACCCCTCGATCAACGCCCAAAGATGTGAGATCGAAGGTCAACTTCTGGATTCAGGGCTGATGGGGGCATGGTTTCAGAACGTAACGGTTGGGCAGCTGTCCGCAGCTGTCGGCGTATCGGTGAGGTGTCGGTACAACTAGGCCAAACTCTGACTTGTGCCAGGGTGCTCCAGTCAGCATAATAACTTGCGGCTGCCAGGAATCCTGGCAGCGTGGCCAAAGATAACCTTCAGTGTGCGATGGGAGGCGGGAATCTGCGAAGGTCCACTGTCGGCAAACGCCATAGCCGTGGTGCAATAGTACAATGGCCAGCTGTGGCGGGTCGCCAGTTGACAGCGTCAAGGCTTCCAAACCTGCAGTCAAGTATGGATGTTGATCAACAAACCTTCATCTCAGAATGACCTTCTTCGCGAAGAGAAAAGTTAACTTTCGCAACACCATCGTGAAACTTTCCCGGCGGCAAGATTACATAACTGTTCAAGTTCGAAGATGAAGAAATCTTCGGGTGGTTCATTAGGCATGTTTGACGGGTTCTAGAAAGGCTTCCTATGTCTTCCTAACTGTTTCTCGAAAGCAGGGCTCCATAGATTTTTCTCAAGGGTCTATTCATGGTTTCGTACAGGGGCTCTGGAAAGCTTCTTACCAGTTTCTCAACACGCGATTCCTCTGTCTGTAAGCACTTGCCGCAGCTCAGCGTGCATGTGCCATGAATCCTTGCCTAGAGCTGGCTACAACACTTACGCGAAACTAGTGCGGAACCGATCGTGCCACTTGCTGCAGCGGTACCTGAGTTTGACACCTCTTGTGGTGGTGGTGGTGGTGGTGGTGGTGGTGGTGGTGGCGGCGGCGGTGGTGGTGGTGGTGGGGTGGTGGTGGCGGTGGTGGTGGTGGTGGCGGCGGCGGTGGCAGTGGCGGTGGTTCATCGCCGCCGGCGGTGGGTGGTGGTGGCAGTGGTGGTGGCGGTGGCGGTGGCGGTGGCGGTGGCGGTGGCGGTGGCGGTGGCGGTGGCGGTGGCGGTGGCGGTGGCGGTGGCGGTGGCGGTGGCGGTTTGTTTGAACCGCAGCCAGGGAATCCGGGCAATGCGACAGGTCAGAGAGGTCAGCGACATCGTCACCGGTTGCACTGTGGCAACACGCATCTTATGTGCGTACCTAGGGCTCAAAGCCTCGTCACGAGTGACGAGGGGCATAATAGAAAAGGGTAGCTAAAAATTTGTAGCCTTCACAGCATGCGCAATAGCTCATATACATATCTACATGGCGACTCAGCTCAGCTCAGCTCAGCTCAGTCATCAACGAGGTCTCTCGTGGGCTCGTTCATGCACTCCGTAGGGAGGTTAAATCCCAATCCTGCCAGTGTCACCCGATCTGAAGCAGAGAGCCTGTGCAGATGACGAGGGGTGTAGCCGATGAGGATAGTGCGATCGCCTTGTGTCCACGGTGTAGTGGCATGAGTGCAGAGCGGCGAAAACTGGATGTAAGGGAGCTGCACCCGGTACATAGTGCCCGGTCCGGAGTCCTGGTCCAATGCATGGGCTCCATGTTCATTCTGTACCCATAGACAGCCCCCGACCCATCGAGAGCAGGGGACGATGGTGTTTAGAAGGCCAGGTTGATTCCCAGTGTCACGATGTGCCTGTAGCTGGATGTTGCGTTGCAGCGCCAATGAGGCAAAGATCGCGTCCGGGCACATGCCTCTCATAATGCCGGTGAGAACCATTGTCGTCCTGGGGGGTGACCATGCAGTGAGCTGGATACCGGTGGAATGGGCAAACGTGTAAGCTCCAGTGGAGAAGCACTTCTGCTGATGTTCTCCAAGGCAAAGTTGGTGTCTGCGTTTAGCCGCAGTCTTCTCCGGGAGCAGGTCCAGCAGCTCGGAGATGTGCCCGAATGTAGCGAAGCCACGCTGCAGGATGGAATGCGCCAGCTGCTCCGCACCGGGGTCCTGAGCAGTGGGTGTCGGGTGCATGTCTCCATTATAAACATCCACGGTGAGCTGTGGGAACGTTCCATTCCAGAAACGGCGTATCGGCCGATGTAGAAGAGGATGAAGCCGCGAGCTCCTGAGTATATGCGTTGAGGCCGGGTTGCGTCGAGGCCTCGGTATTGTGGTTAAGGGTGGCGGGAGAGCTATCCCCGGAACCAACCGAGACTAGGCTACGCGGTGATGGTGTCTCCGGCGGACCGCGGAACCTGGGGTGTGACGGGCCCAAAATGGAAGGCAGTTCCAGCTCCCAGACCTCATCGGGGACTTCAGGAGGCTTAGACGGGAACATGTGTACATGCCTCTGAGGTGAGCCAGGGCATGACAGAAACAACCGGATTGCAAATGTCATGTGCAGAACGTGACACACATGACAAGGAAAGGCAAGGCAGGCAGACAGGCGAGGTGGAGAATATTGGGTATTTTCCGCACACTGAATTTGCAATGATGCGGTCCCGCGGTGGAACCCCCAGGCTCCACGGCCACCTGACAAGCATACACTACGAGTCAGGTCTGAGAACAAAGGGCGCCTGCCTAGGGAGAGTGGGGAGTGTCCCCACGCCTGCATAGCAGTACATACACTTCGGATGAGCGGAATCTAGGGCCATCTAGAAGTGTGGAATCCGGTGTGAGTCGCCTCGGCTCAACCCCGTCATCACAGAGCCAGTCTACGCCTGAGGAACTGGTGCAGGAGCACTGTGTAATGTCCCGAGTGAGTGCTCTGGCCATGGTAAAGAATGGCGGCTTCAACAGTGTAGGTGACGTTATGTGATTCAATACCATCAGCATCAAAACATGGGAGATTGAGCACTCTGGGCCAGCTGACGCTGGCATGATTCTTCCTGGCTCCCTCGGGCCCGAACGAGTACCTGGAAAGCTGTAACAGCAAAATCATCGGTGGGCGCCTTAGTGCATGGACCGAAGACTGTAGATGCCAATTGTGAAGCATGAGCTGGGCGCTTAGCCAATCCCCTGCAGGCAACTCGAGGGTTAATGCCTGATCACAACTGGCCTCCTCAGTCTCACGAAGCCCGTGATCCTCCAGCCTGCGTGCGCTCCAATCCCCAGCCGTCGCCTGGGGACAAATCTTCGCAATTAAGTGATGCATGAACTCTGGGCAATCGTGCTGGTCCTGAGCGCGAGCCCAGCCCGACAGCACAAATCTCCACAATAGCATGCCTGGTATGAAGTGCGGGCGGGGGTTTAGCTTACGAATGAAGGCAATGGCCTGAGCACCTGCTGTGGTAAATCCCCTTGCTGAAGCCATCGCCTGGGGGCAAGACATGTTGCCACCGACGGCCCACAGTAGGGCTCGGACAGCGGTGGCGGTGGCGGTGGCGGTGGCGGTGGCGGTGGCGGTGGCGGTTCGCACCTGCGAAAACCTACAAGCCTCTCCTTGACCTCTTGGACCTTGCTGCTGC